CTAAATTCAAGCTAAAACCAAATTAAATCTTATATACAAATTATATATGAGTATATATCTTGTGCTCATCCGTAGATTTCAAACAGGCCAGTCTTGTTGCAAATTCTGTTTCCCACATTCACCTGTTTGTCCAGGAAGGCTGTGTTTTACATGCCATCATCAGGACTTCCAGGGATTAAATCATTTTTAGTTTGTGCCTTCTCAAACACTTTAATATCAGAATAATAACTCCAAAAACACCAGGTTAAATGTATGAATAAATTGAAAGTATTGGTTTTAGTATGGATTAATTGAGCAATAGTTATGCATTAGAGGAAAGGGGATAACAGACAAGAATATTCTATGACGTTCTGGAGGACTGTTGCTGGACAGGAGATGACAGAAAAGAGTAGATTGTAAGGGAATAATTGTGCTAAAGCCTAAAGGTAAAAAGGAGCTGAATCAAACCTGCCAAGTTTTCATGTTTTAACCAAAAAAAGTATATCACTACAGTGTCAGTAAGTTTAGTGAATATAAAGTATAAAATACTTAGCTCAGAATCAAAAACAGCCTCCCAAGATCGCTACCCAAAGGACGACCTTTTACAATTTATAGAAAACCAAAACAAATATGTGGGACATGGCTAGACAAATCTAAAAAGGAACATAAACAAAATATAGTGTAATACAGTTAATACAGTCAGTTATGTGCCACACATAAGTGCACTTACAAGATTGCTATGCATAAAGTGCTCACAAGGTGCCTCCCCCGAGGTTGTGGGGGGCTATTTGTCCCACTCTTTACTCCAAGGTAGCAGATGTTACACAGGACTCCAATAGATGAGTAAAAAATCAGCGATTTTATTTTGTTAAAAGGTGAACAACCACCATCAGCATAGAATAAAATCAAAGAACAATTGGTCCTACGCATTTTGTTCCAAAAGGAACTTCCTCAGGTACCACAACAGCATTAAAATTGATCAAAGTAATAAACTGTATGAAAAAAGTCATTTTTGTGTGTTATTTTTTTCTCACATTGTACTTTAGGCATGGATTCTCAGTTCCTGTTATGTGTTACTGATAAAGAACACCCCAATATGTGTTCAGCAACATCTACCGAGTACAACAGTGCCCCCAATGTACAGGTTTTATGGCTTTTTGCAAACTTACAGGGGTGAAATGTAAGTGGCTTTCCAGTTTTCCATGTTTGCACATTGAAATTTGCCAGATTGGTTTGCTGGGTTTGTATTGCTTTAGACACCATATAGCAGCCCAGGAATGAAAATTAACCCCATCATGGCATACCATTTTTAAATGTAGATAACCCAAGGTATTCCAAATGAGGTATTTTCAGTCTTTTGTAGTAGTCACAAACGCTGGCCAAAATTAGCATTTTTATTAGTTTTTTTACAAAAAAATTTTTCTTCTATATATATATATATATATACATATATATATATATATATATATATATAATCAGTTTGTGTCTGTGTGTATATATATATATACATTACGTGTGTATATAATACAGTTGCAAGAAAAAGTATGTGAACCCTTTGGAATGATATGGATTTCTGCACAAATTGGTCATAAAATATAATCTGATCATCATCTAAATCACAACAATAGACAGTCACAGTCGGCTTAAACTAATAACACACAAAGAATGAAATGTTGCCATGTTTTTATTGAACACACCATGTAAACATTCACAGTGCAGGTGGAAAAAGTATGTGAACCCCTAGACTAATGACATCTCCAAGAGCTAACTGGAGTGAGAAGTCAGCCAGCTGGAGTCCAATCAATGAGATGAGATTGGAGGTGTTGGTTACAGCTGCCCTGCCCTATAAAAAACACACACCAGTTCTGGGTTTGCTTTTCACAAGAAGCATTGCCTGATGTGATGATGCCTCGCACAAAAGAGCTCTCAGAAGACCTACGATTAAGAATTGCTGACTTGCATAAAGCTGGAAAGGGTTATAAAAGTATCTCCAAAAGCCTTGTTGTTCATCAGTCCACGGTAAGACAAATTGTCCATAAATGGAGAAAGTTCAGCACTGCTGCTACTCTCCCTAGGAGTGGCCGTCCAGCAAAGATGACTGCAAGAGGACAGCACAGACTGCTCAATGAGGTGAAGAAGAATCCTAGAGTGTCAGCTAAAGACTTACAAAAGTCACCGGCAAATGCGGACATCCATGTTAGCAAATCTAACATACGTAAAACACTAAACAAGAATGGATTTCATGGCTGTGCTCTGCATGCTGGCATCTGACAACACGTTTGCATATAATTCAGGGAATTATCTACTAAACAGCCAAAGGATCAAAATTAAAAAAAGCCCTTTTCTTATTTTCACTTGTTTAGTAAATAAATACCTTATTTGTTATCCTTATGTGGTATTGCAATATTTAAAGGGAGCTATCTACTAAACACATACACAGAAATACACATAATCAGAGATATACACAAACACAATCACAGACGTCCGCACCTACACTCACATACATACTATCACATACACACAAACATTAAATACATACACACATTTAATAATTAAGAGGTCCACCCAGCCTCCCTTGCTCTAGAAGGGCTGGAGTGGATCCTCAGTCCCTGGTGGTCAGTGGTTGCTGCTGGGATATCTGTGCTCTTCCTGCACAGGTCCCTCGCACGCCGTGTAATGAGTGATTCCCTGGTGTGTTGGAGTTGGGGAAGCAGGGACACATTCCTGCTTCCCCTCTATGTGAGCAGTAAGAGGCTGCATTTATCTCCGCCCCCACATCCAGATTGGCTCCGCCCCATGGCCAACCTGACCCCGCCCCAACTCCGTGCAGGTCTCCTGCTCCTGCTTCCATCCCCTGTGTTTGTGAGCTGTGTCGGCTGCCCGGCGCCTCTGCTGCTATGGCAACCTGTGCAACCACACAGCTCACAGAACCCCAAGCCTGGCCAGCCCTGGTGGCACCCCCCTACCTGATGGCACCTGGGGTGGACCGGCCCTCCTCTCCCCTCCCTTAGTACGCCACTGCCTATAGTATCCCTTTAATTAAATTACAGTAACAAATCCAGCAAGCAGCAACACATTTTTTAACACAAATATTTATTTTTGTGGAAAATAACTGGAAGATATTCGGACAGCAAATTGGTTTAGATGAACCATATTTTTCCACCATTCACAAGTCTGATAGATTTTATTGTAAAGCGCTGCGGAATAAGCTGGCGCAATATAAATACCAATAATAATAATAATAATAATAACAGATAGATAAACAAAATAAGACAAATAATGCAAAGCTTATTTTTTGCACTCCAATGGGTTTATTTGGTAGAAAGGAATAACAACATTATGATCAACCTCTGAACCATAACAATCATTGCCTGAGACAGATAGATGAAAGTATGTTTATTAAGGGAAGTTCTTCAATGGTGTGATATTATATTCCTGACAAATATCCCTATGAGTAAGCTCTATGTCCTATAAAAACAGAAATGAAACTATCAATTATAATATTCTATTTTGATTTATGACATATTTGAATAGTTTTACTAATATTATCTTAATTATCTTAATATCTTTTTCTTCTTTTCTAATCAATGGTGTAGAAATCACAAGTTACTTTTTAAAGGTTGAATCATTTGTTTACGGCACTTGAGTGCTGTATGAATATTATTCATTTTTATCATGTTTTGTTGGCTACTTTTTTCTTTGATTTTCTTGTTTGCAAAATAATACTTTTTGAAAGGTTTGGCAGCGTTATAATGCAAATTGTAAAGGCATCTTGCGATTTGCAGCTGCTGTTGAAAATGCACCAGTTTTATTCTTGGTGTAATATAAAATTAGCTGTTACTCTGAAAACAAATGAAATGCTGAATTAGCAGATTCACAGTCAGATCTCAAGCCATGATCATTAAATAGAGAGGTGGTTCCATTTATCCCACTGGTCACTTTGGGTAGTGTAGCCTAATGGACCACAATAGAGGATATTCCTTATTTTATGCCCAGTCTGAGAAAAACTGCTTTCCACGTGTTGTAACTGGAAAGGGCAGGGATATCACACTCATAGAATGCAGAGAGCAGCGTTTTCAGACCAGGTAAATGATAATGGAAAATTCTCTATCATGGTCTCCTAGGGTGTAGGCAGGGTGTGGGATGTAAGAAAAAGGAAAAGGGGTAAAGCAAATAGGGAGAGGCATAGGGACATTAGAGGGGTTGAAATTCAAGAAAGGGGGTAGGAGACAAAACAGGAGAGGGAAGAGACCCAAGGGTGTAAAACACACAAGAGAGTGAGTAGAAGAGACAACAAGGAAAGTTAGTGCCAAAAGAGGAATAGAAGGCACTAAAGGGTGGTGAAAGACAAAATGGGGCATAAGAAATGCAAGCATGGCATCAGAGATGCTAAGAGGCATAAAAGACGAAGGTGGCATAAGAGAAGCAAGGGAAGAGTAAGAAACACAAGGGAAGCATAAGACACAAGAGAGGGCTAAGTACACCTCTGGTATGATAATAAAACTCATGGATCTTTTAACTGACTTCTGTGCTTTAAATTGAACTGAATGTATTTCATGCAACCATACAATATCTACATTTATACATTCATGCATGCATTATAGATGTAATGTTATCAGTATTATTCCATATGTTTTATATATCTTACTACAGTCCCAACTACTTCAACTATTTGACAGATTTGCAGACTAACAAAACATGTATACAGATTTTTATTTTTTGAATTTGACCATTTTTATTGAATTTTTTAAGTTTTGTAGGGGTACAGAAAAGAAGGGTGGTTACGGGGGAAAAGCAGGTAGTTTATGTATACAGATTTAGATTGAAAATATTAGTAATTTCATTTTTTAGTGTTTGTAAATATTGTCATCTATTTCATAGCAAAATAAGTTTGGCAAATAAACGTTAGTGACTTCAATTATTTGCAGTCTTTTGCCACTAACTATAAGACAAATTTGTCAAATGTATCCTCCCTTACTCTTATAGAGATCTTCATGTAAATCATAGTGTCTGCATCCTGTTATAAGCTGTATGTGTCACAGACTGAGCTCAGTGATACGAACCAGCAGATACTGTGTACTGTCTGCTCTTATTATCCACTGAACATAATGAGGGCTTTCTACATTGTGCTCCCTCTGCTGATATCTGGATCATGTAAGGAGCACATGTATGCTGTACATGGCAATATTTGAGACAATGTAAATTACAAATCCTTCTTCATATTAATATGTTTGTTTCTTTTACAGATGTTCTTTCCCAGACAGTTACTCTGGACCAACCTGGATCTGCAGTTGTGAAACCCTCTGAAACCCTGAAAATCCCATGTAAAGTCTCAGTGTCTGTTACTAGTGCTACCTGGGTTTGGGTCAGACAGAAAGCAGGGTCAGCACTGGAATATATTGGGTATATTGCTAGTGGTGGGGGCACAAGCTATGCCTCGATCTTCCAAGGAAAAGTCACTTTCACCAGAGACACATCAAAAAATGAACTTTACTTTGAAATGCCAAATATGAGAAGTGACGATTCTGGGACATATTACTGTGCGAGATACACTGTGACAGAAGGAAATCAAAACTCGTTATAAAACTTCATAGTGAAGAGGAAGTGAGAGGAAGAATCGAAAAAATGTAAAGTCATAGTATTTCTCAAAAAATAAATAATTTCTACATATAAATGTATTGGGCTACCATATAAAGTTATATATGTATTTATATAAAATGGTAAACATACACAAGGCACAGCTTACACTTTCAGGTTATTTACTAATGTCTTAATTTTTGTGAATTAAATCCATTTGAAAAAGATGAGTTAAAAATAGCTGATATGGAAAATTTGCCAACTCAGTCAGATTTACCACTTGGCTATTTTTGCCTCAGCTTTGGCATTCTGTAATTTTGGAAATTTGGAATTTAGTCAATAACCCTATCTATTTTGGAGACATGCTGAGTAAACTCTACTGTTTTATCTTGAAGAAAAGATGACTTGTTCACCTCTGCAATCTTCCTTTCAAATTAATTTTAAAAATGAGAAAATAAAAAACTTCATGAAGTGCTACTAAATTCAAGCTAAAACCAAATTAATCTTATATACAAATTATATATGAGTATATATCTTGTGCTCATCCGTAGATTTCAAACAGGCCAGTCTTGTTGCAAATTCTGTTTCCCACATTCACCTGTTTGTCCAGGAAGGCTGTGTTTTACATGCCATCATCAGGACTTCCAGGGATTAAATCATTTTTAGTTTGTGCCTTCTCAAACACTTTAATAAGCAGAATAATAACTCCAAAAACACCAGGTTAAATGTATGAATAAATTGAAAGGATTGGTTTTAGTATGGATTAATTGAGCAATAGTTATGCATTAGAGGAAAGGGGATAACAGACAAGAATATTCTATGACGTTCTGGAGGACTGTTGCTGGACAGGAGATGACAGAAAAGAGTAGATTGTAAGGGAATAATTGTGCTAAAGCCTAAAGGTAAAAAGGAGTTAAAGTAAGGAGAACAGCCCATTCTGAAGCAAACCTGCCAAGTTTTCATGTTTTAACCAAAAAAAGTATATCACCACAGTGTCAGTAAGTTTAGTGAATATAAAGTATAAATTATACTTAGCTCAGAATCAAAAACAGCCTCCCAAGATCGCTACCCAAAGGACGACCTTTTACAATTTATAGAAAACCAAAACAAATATGTGGGACACGGCTAGACAAATCTAAAAAGGAACATAGACAAAATATAGTGTAATACAGTTAATACAGTCAGTTATGTGCCACACATAAGTGCACTTACAAGATTGGTATGCATAAAGTGCTCACAAGGTGCCTCCCCCGAGGTTGTGGGGGGCTATTTGTCCCACTCTTTACTCCAAGAAAGCAGATGTTACACAGGACTCCAATAGATGAGTAAAAAATCAGCGATTTTATTTTGTTAAAAGGTGAACAATCACCATCAGCATAGAATAAAATCAAAGAACAATTGGTTCTACGCATTTTGTTCCAAAAGGAACTTCCTCAGGTACCACAACAGCATTAAAATTGATCAAAGTAATAAACTGTATGAAAAAAGTCATTTTTGTGTGTTATTTTTCTCTCACATTGTACTTTAGGCATGGATTCTCAGTTCCTGTTATGTGTTACTGATAAAGAACACCCCAATATGTGTTCAGCAACATCTACCGAGTACAACAGTGCCCCCAATGTACAGGTTTTATGGCTTTTTGCAAACTTACAGGGGTGAAATGTAAGTGGCTTTCCAGTTTTCCATGTTTGCACATTGAAATTTGCTAGATTGGTTTGCTGGGTCTGTGTTGCCTTAGACACCATATAGCAGCCCAGGAATGAAAACTAACCCCATCATGGCATACCATTTTTAAATGTAGATAACCCAAGGTATTCCAAATGAGGTATTTTCAGTCTTTTGTAGTAGTCACAAACGCTGGCCAAAGTTAGCATTTTTATTTGTTTTTTTACAAATGTTTTTTTTCTTCAATATATATATATATATATATATATATTGATATATATATATATATATATATAATCAGTTTGTGTCTGTGTGTGTATATATATACATTACGTGTGTATATAATACAGTTGCAAGAAAAAGTATGTGAACCCTTTGGAATGATATGGATTTCTGCACAAATTGGTCATAAAATGTAATCTGATCATCATCTAAGTCACAACAATAGACAGTCACAGTCTGCTTAAACTAATAACACACAAAAAATGAAATGTTGCCATGTTTTTATTGAACACACCATGTAAATATTCACAGTGCAGGTGGAAAAAGTATGTGAACCCCTAGACTAATGACATCTCCAAGAGCTAACTGGAATGAGATGTCAGCCAACTGGAGTCCAATCAATGAGATGAGATGGGAGGTGTTTGTTACAGCTGCCCTGCCCTATAAAAAAACACACACCAGTTCTGGGTTTGCTTTTCACAAGAAGCATTGCCTGATGTGAATGATGCCTCGCACAAAAGAGCTCTCAGAAGACCTACGATTAACAATTGTTGACTTGCATAAAGCTGGAAAGGGTTATAAAAGTATCTCCAAAAGCCTTGATGTTCATCAGTCCACGGTAAGACAAATTGTCCATAAATGGAGAAAGTTCAGCACTGCTGCTACTCTCCCTAGGAGTGGCCGTCCTGCAAAGATGATTGCAAGAGCACAGCACAGACTGCTCAATGAGGTGAAGAAGAATCCTAGAGTGTCAGCTAAAGACTTACAAAAGTCACCGGCAAATGCGGACATCCCTGTTAGCAAATATAACATACGTAAAACACTAAACAAGAATGGATTTCATGGGAGGATACCACAGAGAAAGCCACAAACAACAAAACATTGCTGCACGTTTACAGTTTGCACAAGAGCACCTGGATGTTCCACAGCAGTACTGGAAAAATATTCTGTGGACAGATGAAACCAAAGTTGAGTTGTTTGGAAGAAACACACAACACTATGTGTGGTGAAAAAAAGGCACATCACACCAACTGTGAAGTATGATGGTGGGGGCATCATGGTTTGGGGCTACTTTGCTGCGTCAGGGCCTGGACGGATTGCCATCATCAAAGGAAGAAATGAATTCCCAAGTTTATCAAGACATTTTGCAGGAGAACTTAAGGCCATCTGTCTCCCAGCTGAAGCTCAACAGAAGATGGGTGTTGCAACAGTACAATCAGGCCGTGGGGCCGAGGCCGGCAGGGGAGGTCCCAGGATCTCCCCTGCCGGTCTATGCAGGGCCGGCACTATCCGAGCGCCGGCCCCGCTCTTTGCCATGGAGGGCCGGTGGGGAGATCAAAGATCTCCCTCACCGGCCCACATGTGCTCAAACGCGGCCGCCGGCGGGGAGAGAGGGAGGGAGACAGCCACCAGGAGAGAGGACCCGGTGGAGCTCTTACTTAGAGCACCGCCGGGTTCCTCTCGCGAGATCCGGACTGTTGCTATGGCAACCGGCCGGGTCTTGCGAGAGTGAACTCTAGCCCCAAAGGGGTATTTATTATTATTTGTATTTATTATTATGTATTTATTAATATTATTTATTATTATGTATTATTATGTATTATTATGTATTTATTATTTGTATTTATTATTATGTATTTATTAATATTATTTATTATGTATTATTATGTATTTATTATTATTTGTATTTATTATTATGCATTTATGTATTTATTAATATTATTTATTATTATGTATTATTATGTATTTATTATTATTATTTTTTAGTAAAACACCTACCTGCCTCCCCCAATACAAAATCCTTGCAAACACACACATCACCCTCACCCAGCACCCTAACACATACACAGCACCCTAACACACACACACACACAGCACCCTAACACCAGCACCCTAACATTGACACAGCACCCTAACACACACAGCACCCTAACACCAGCACCCTAACATTGACACAGCACCCTAACACCAGCACCCTAACACACACAGCACCCTAACACACTCACAGCACCCTAACACCAGCACCCTAACACACACACAGCACCCTAACATTGACACAGCACCCTAACACACACACAGCACCCTAACATTGACACAGAACCCTAACACACACACAGCACCCTAACACACACACAGCACCCTAACACCAGCACCCTAACATTGACACAGAACCCCTAACACACACACAGCACCCTAACACCAGCACCCCAACACACACACAGCACCCTAATACCAGCACCCTAACATTGACACATCACCCTAACACACACACAGCACCCTAACACACACACACAGCACCCTGACACTCACACAGCACCCTAAAACACACACAGCACCCTAACACCAGCACCCTAACATTGACACAGCATCCTAACATTGACACAGCACCCTAACACATACAGCAACCTAGCACACACACACACATCACCCCAACACACACACATCACCCCAACACACACACATCACCCCAACACACACACAGCACCCCAACACACACACAGCAACCCAACACACACACAGCACCCCAACACACACAGCACCCCAACACACATCACCCTCACACACACATCACCCTCACTCACACAGCACCCTCAAATACACAGAACCCTCGCACAGTGCCCTAACACACAGCGCCCTCACACACACAGCACCCTCCACACACACATACTGCACCCTCCCACACACACTATACTCCTCACAAATGCACACTACACCCCTCACACACACAGCACCCCCCCAAACACACTGCACCAGTCACACACTCACTAGATCTCCTATACGCACTCCGGAGTCCTTCAAACACACACTAGATCCCCTACACACAGACGCTGCACCACTTACACACACACTACATTTCTGACATACACACTCAGGATCCCCTATGAACACACTAGATATCCTTTAAGCAAACACATATAGTGTCTCCATAAATGGGATACAGTGAGTATTCCAATTATGGAAACCCCTGAGACAAGTTTCAAGCAAACACAATGCAAGCATGTTATTAAATTTGCTTGCGCTGTGCAGATCAAATACAGGGCCCTTTTCTCATGCCCTGGAAGAGCATTGAACCAACATGCTCACTTTGAGATGGGGCGAGCTTGTCATTGGGGATGACAAAACACACCCTATCTGGCCCCGCCCCCTTTTCAGTGGGCCGCTGTAATTAAAAATGCCCGGGCCGAATTTTTTCCCCAGTCCGGCCCTGACTACAGGGATTGCTATGCTCTTCATACTCCCTTAGCCACTGATGTTCCTGATCCTGCTTCGCTCTACAGAAGGAAGAGGTTCACCTACTGGAACCTGGAGCCTGGTCGTAGGTCCAG